GAGAGAGAGAGAGAGAGAGAGAGAGAGAGAGAGAGAGAGAGAGAGAGTCCTTCTTCCATGTCCTTTATATAGGCTACTACCAGAAGGTGTGGTTCAGGTTAAGGATGAAGGGGATCTTCTGCCTCAAAAGATTCAAATTTAAAGTGGATCTTCCTATTTCCATCTCTATAGATAGCCAGAAGGGAATTTCATAAACACCACCAGTGCCCCTGCATTCTGACTGTTCTCATTCTATAAGGGCATGTGTAGAATTTTCGCCTTGAGACATCAGGTCATTGATCAAGAAGTTTAAAGTTTTGGGAGCATTTTAGGTTTGGAGTATTTAGATCAGAGATGCTCACTCTCTGTAATTTTTATTTTAATGCAATTTTAAGATATATATGTATATAGTGTCTCTCCGTGTGTGTGTGTGTGTGTCCATGTGTGCATGTGTGGAGGTCAGGGGACAAACTGTGGTCTGTTCTCTCCTTATACCATGTGGACTCAGGGGACTGAACGCAGGTCACTAGGGTTGGCAACAAGGACCTTTACCCCTAGACTAGATTTTTCTTTCCAAATGTCCTTAGCATAAGACACAATGACAGCTTCACCATGTCCCCAGCTTGATAAAAACAAGTCTGACCATGATGCTCTGAGGATGTCACCATTTTCTGGAAAATCCAAACCATCTGAACAATGAGGCAATTGTTCTAAATATCTGCTAATCCTGCTGGAGCTTTGATGTTTACCTTGGGGCCTTTCCCTTCCTTTTTAAGAAACTGATTTTACAAGTTCTTGGTGGCGTCAGCAGCACTGACTGGGGTGTAAAGTCAGCCATATTTCAGAGAGTTCTCAATATAAAATGAGCTAACATGTAGCTTTGGAATTACAAAGTAATAGAAAATTTGAGCGACCAGGCAGACTTTCATCAGACAAGTTTTACACACAGTATAAAATTAGCTTACAAATTTCTATCATGTTTAAAAGAAACTGCACATTATTTACCAATGTGTATTTAAGGTCCTGTGTGTTATGTCTGAGACTCACCCACCAGGTAAGCCTGTGTAGACAGGCAGCTGTCAGCATTTAGCCATGGAAGGCATATTCTCTAAGTAGTTCAAGGAAAAACCAAGTAGCTTGTGAGATCAATATGCACATTTACCCCTTCGGCAGACTTCCTCTAAGGTGTGCAAGAAAAGGGATCTAAAATCGAGGAGAAAGGTCAGCCTCGGTAGAGCTCAGGACATGGAGGCGAGAATGGGTGGGTGTAAATATTGATAGGCAGCAAACAATTGTGCGGCTATAAAGAAGTTGGTTTTTTTTCCTCCTTGCCTTGGTTTCTTCAGCTGTGACACGGCGTCAGCCCTGCCCGTCTGTCACATTTGCTCTGAGTATTACAGAGAACACTCCGCTAACCAGTCCTGAAGCTGTCCGCTCAGTTCTGTACTCCTGCATTTGGCCCAGGGTGGCATATTTTTGTAGGCACAAACACATCCACATCTCAGGGGCGTGTTTCGAGTGCCGGCCACACTGGAGGCTGGGAGGGTTTAGCAGGGTACAACAGAGTGGTACTCTTGTTCCCAATGACCCCAGAGTTTGAATTCACAGAGATCCTCCTGCCTCTACCTCCCGGATGCTGGGATTAAAGGCATTTGCCACCCATGCTCTTCGGATTACTGTGTTTCCAAAGAGAAGAACATCTTCCACCCGGCCTTTCTCTTTCCGGTCTTTCAAGGTCTTTCCGACCTTGCTGGTCGAGGTTATGCATCTGGGGAAGGAATGTCACACGGGTGCTGGGTCCTTCCCAGGGTATTGTAGCAGGAGGCACCCGAAGCCTGCTTCTTCCTGAGACTGCCAATATTACCATGGTCCCTGACTGAAAGTGGTCCCTGCCAGCTTCTCCACTGAAGGGTTACTGTGCTCCATGTTGTAATGAGTTGATATTTTCTGGCAGATGTTTTGAGATATTCAGACGGTCCTGCTTCTCCTAACAAGGCTGCTGTATGCACTTAAGCGTCACATTCTTGCCAGAAGTGACCATTCCTGGTCTGTCTTTGTCCTAGACTGCATTCACCTAGACCTCCAAGTGCTGGACGAGGAACCGGAGGACTGGACGCAGACTGATTTCTTCAGGCTGGATTTTTACCGGTAAACGCAACATGAAGTCTCAGTCCCCAGGAGAGGAGGCCGGGGGTGGACAGCAGCATCGTCACACTGACGAATGTGCCTTTTACTTTTATTTAGGCTCATACAAGTTAATATCTCCTTTGCCCTCAAAGGAATTGACCTACAGGCAATTCATTCCCGAGAGGTACCGGACTGTTACAGCTTTCAGAATACGGCAAGTGTCTTTGTTTTATGGTGACCTCTGTCTGGTTTGTTCCCTATGGCTTTTGTAGAAGAAGATAAACCCTGAAACCTACAGACATTAGAGACTGCTGCACTGGTCTCATCTAGCGACTGTTTTATGTGAAGATGGAGCCAGGGCTTTCCAACTCCCTAAACCATATTCCTAGGCTGGGAAGGTGGCTCCCTTGAGGATGAGAGTTCAAACCCCTGGCACCTACAGAAACCCTTTACCCTGAAGTTCTCACCACTAAAAGGAAATTGTGAAGGAATTCTCCTAATTGACTTCAGCTGTCAGCTTGACACAGCTCACGGTGACCTGAGGGAGTGTCCACAAAAGGACTTCAGTGGAGCGTTTTCTTGGCAGCTGATTGATGAGAGCTCCTCCCACTGTGGGCACTGCCATCTCTGGGCAGGTGATCCTAGGCTGTATAAGAAAGCAGGCTGTGAGCAGCCTTCCTCTGACGTGACTCCTTTCACTGACAGAGTGCGACCTGGAAGTATTAGCTGAAATATCCTCAGGCTGCCTAAGGCCATCACAGCCACAGCAGCTAGACCAGAACCCATGCGCTGGGGGCATTTCCATTGCTATGATCTCTGTATCAGTGTTCCATCCTGGTGCTGCTGACTTTCCTAAGTGGTTGACCTGAAAGCTCCCACTTCCTGTCGGACTATAACCTCTCCATTTCTGCCTCCAGATTACCTTCGACAACACAGCCCACAGTGGAAAAATAAGAATCTATTTTAACAGCGAGGCCAACATAGAAGAATGTAAAGCCATGAATATATCTGGATCTAGTAAGTGTGCTGTGCAACCTGCCCTTCGTGTGTTACAGGGTGGCTTGGGGCTCGGAGAATTCGTGTGATTGTTGTGGATGGCGGTGGGAAGAAAAGTCCCATAAAAACAAAGCTCAAACACCAGTCTCGAGACGTCTGTCCAAGTCAGCAAGTGTTTATTGCTTCTCTGGAAGACTTAGCATGAGTCAGTGGCTTAGGGGATCAGTCCCTATAGCCAGATGGCCTGTGCTCACCGTTCTGTTTCTGTTCTCCGTGTCTGGGGGCTTGGACCTATGTCTTGGCCTCTCTTTCCTAGAATTCTCTACAAAACAGCAGCAATGACTGTGTTTGCTGAGGGCATTGGCACTCAGTGCTGAGAGGGGAAATCATCAGAGTTGCTGGACTCTAATGGAGGAGGAGAAGCCATAGTGAAGGAGATGGACGTGACCAGATCTCTAGTGTGTTGTGGTTAGGGATGGTGCAGACGTATGAGCCGTCTGAGGAAGGAGGCAAATGATAACTTTGACCAGGGCCGCGTGGGAATCATAAAATGATCTTTGGAGAAAGCATGTTTTGACCCAAGCCTTGGACAGCAGAGAAGAGTCAAGACCCCAGAGCGTAGAGAGCAGCCTGAATAAACATGGGGACAGTTCCTCAGTCACCTCATGGTCCATGTGCTCAGAGTGGCCCTGAGCTAGGTAGGTGTGGTGTCATGTACCTGCAAACCCAGCACTCTGGAGGCAGAGGCGGGGAGATTTCGAGTTTAAGGCCAGCCTCGGTTACTCAGGGGTTCCTGTTCCAAAAGAAGAAGGGAGGAGGAAAACCTAGGCTCTGTGGATCCCGTTTGGGTTGTTCAGTGGTCAGGGCGATGTCTCTGGAAGGTCAGCACCGAGAGCGGGCAAGCTTTGTTTAAATGTGTTCCCCTTTGACCAGACAACCAGAAACATGAAACACGAGACGCATGGTCTCGACCCTAATGATAGACCATTACTTTTCAGTTGTACAACGACTGAAGATTTTGAAGTCTACTCTTCCTTTTCTAGCCTTGGCTTCAGTTGTTCCTGAAGGAAGCACACAGTTTCAGGTTCGGATAAAATGATTTCCTATCCCCAGCAGACACTCCCTCACCCCAGACCACCACCAAACAAAAGCTGCAGCTGTGTCCTGGGAAAAGAAGTCACCTTGGTCATATTTAAAATGTGGTTTTCAATAGTCACCACGAGGATCAGAGTGCTTCACAGCTTCCCAGGCATCCCCAGACCACGGGCTCCTTCTCGACCACTGGGGCGCGCTCCCACCACCACTCATGCACAGAAGGGAGGAGCTCTAGCTCCCCCTGGTGGTCAACAGAGAGAAACACAGGCCACACAGAGCTGAGTGGAAAAAGAGCTAAAATGTGCTATTCCTACAGCCATGTCTTAAGAAACTTGACCTCGTCACCAGGAAATGACGCATTTAAGATAAAGTGAAAGGTTTGGAAATCATTAAAAAGCTGAGGTTTAGAACCCAGTTTAGGAGATGGTTTATGCCCTCTCTTTCATCTGAAGCTGTGTGGTGGATTGAGAAGCCCTACCTGAGCGACAAGGGCAGAGGCGCCATCTGGTGGACTCTGGCTGCTATTTCCTTCCCGCTCACTCAGCATCTGGGCTGCTTGCTTCCCTTGTTATCATCCATATTTACCCACATCTGCTCCAAGTTCAGGTAATGCCCCCTTCACAGGCGGACCTCATCTGCTACCTGATAACCGTTTTCCCTAAAATTGTGCTTCTGATCTCCATCAATTTGAGTTTATAACGAGTCCCACGAGGCTTGGGAAGAACTGGTGAGCAAGGCTTCCCGCCATCGTGGGTGTGATAGTGTTTACTTATTGCTGGGCGGGAGTTTACACATTTGGATAGAACTGAGGCATTCTCCCTCAGGCAGACAGAGGTAGGGTGTCTGGACACATCACATGTTTGGGAGCATGGAATGAGTAGGGTGTGGAGCTTCCCCAGTCAGAGTGGTGGAGCATATTCTGAACCGTGTTTTCCAAAGCCAGTTTAGGAAGCTGCTTCTACAAAGGCAACATAGTTTCAGTGGGCGTAAGAAATCAGTGGCTTCTGGATGCTACCAACACTTGGGAGGCTGAGGAAGTAGAATTTCTACTAGTTCACATTCAGCAACTGTATTTGTCTTAGCTACTTTTCTATTGCTGTGACAAAAACACCTTGACCAAGGTGACTTGGTGATTTTCTAGAAGGTGACTTATAGAAGGAAGAGTCATTTGAGCCTGTAGCTCTAGAGGCTAAGAGTCTGTCGTGGCAGGCAGACATGGAGTAGTTAGCCGAGAGCTCACAGCTCGACCCACAACCAGGAAGCACTGGGGAGGGAATGAGAGGGATGCTGTGAAATGCCAGCATCTCCATAAGTCACAGCCACTTCAGACACATTGCAGCCACAGGCTCATAGCAGCTGCAGTGGCAGAGGCCCTCAGGGGGAGGGCATGGAAACAGCCCCTTCAGCAGGCAGACACAGGTGGAGGAGGGACTCAGGGCCTGGCGAGCGACCTGCTTGCTCCAGACACAGTGAGGAGAAACTCACTGCTTCAGCTGGGTTCCCACTTAGGCCCCCATCAGGCTCCAGCTTATGGTCGAATTCATTGTCCCAAACCAGATCAAAAGCTATGAGTCTGGGAAGGGGACCAGGTGTGGATAGGGATGGGGGAAGCTAAGAGAGGGAGGCGAGAAGTCAGAATACATTGCATAAATGCATAAAACTTTCAAGCAACACAATTAATCAATAAGAAGAAACATCTGAAACTTGACCCCCTCCCAACAAATCTCAGCAGGTCTGTGTCAGTGCTGTTCTGGCCAAGGGCAGGTGTGCCCGTTCTAGGCTTAAGCTTGTGAAGGTCCCCAGGCGGGATAGAGAAGTCGGTATAGTCGCCGTGTGGAGGTGGGGGGCAGTGGCTAGAATGTGTCACTGTGAAGTCTGGAAGCAGCTAAACTTACGGACTGCTCTCTCTTTGCACAGCCTCTTGCCCTGTGCATTCCAAAACAATCCCCAGATCACTACTGTCTTCCCACGAGTTGTTTTCTTGGTGTTGGTAAGCAGGCAAAGCCTTTCAGACCAGTGCACCGTGGAGCCGGTGAACAGGACTGCGGCTTCTCGCTGTATAAGGCAAACTCACTGTCTGTCTCTTCGCGTGAAGCAAATTAGGCCGTACCGGCACTTTAGCCTCTCTTGAGTGGAGCCTAAATGGATCACGTTCTGTTGAATTCTGACACACAGGAAATATTTATAAAGAATTTTAGTGCATTGATTAACATTGTCTACATTTGTAAGTGCATGACCCCTCCCTCCAGGGTGTGTCGCCATGTTCATGGACTTCTGAATGAATGCCGTATGGTTTTGCTTCTGATAGTTACTGTTTCAACAATAGACCAATCGATTTTTCTTTGGATTTCCCTTCAGACTGCCGTTTGCTGGAAAGTCACTCTCCACAATTTGTGCAAGGTGTGCTTAACATTTGCATTCTGCCTCGTTCTGCAGTTCAGAGAAGCACTCAGTATGTCCTGCCGTTTGACGTGTTTGTCATTATGATCTGCCTGGCATCCCTTATCCTGTGCACCAGATCCATTGTCCTTGCTCTGAGGCTGAGAAAGGTAAGCGTGGCTCTTCCCTTTCTCCCTCCACTCAGCCTGCAGCCTGCGTTTGTCCAAGTCAAGGGGTCTACTGGGTCTGCCGGGTCGGCCGGGTCTACCGGCACTGGGCTAGGCTGCCCTTTCTTGATTTGTTTGCTTTACCGTCCTTTACCATCCTGAGGTACTGGAAGTAAGAAGAGGCCCTGGGGGCTAATGTGCCAACAGGCCAATTGGTGAAGTGCTTGCCACGTGAACCACAGGATCTGAGGCTGATTCCCAGCACACACATAACAAAGCCAGACAGGACTGTGTATGACTGTAATTCCAGCTCTGGGGTGGACACAGGAGGGTCCTGTGGCTCAATGGCCGGTCAGCCTGGTGGGATTAGTGAGCTACAGGTTCAGTGAGAGATATTGCTTGAAAAAAAAATAAAGCAGAGAATAGATGAAGACACCTGGCATTCATATACATACATGTGCATGTGAGTATATATCCATGTGAACATACATGCACATATACACACATCAAAATTTTAAAAAGAAGGAAAAGGTTTAAATTATTTCAGGAGGTCCTATTCTGCTTGAAATCAAGCTTACAAGTACAGGTACTTTGTGGTAAGCTCTCAAGCATTTAGAAGCTTCCAGAATAAAATTTTAATTTCAGGGATGCTCTTAAGAGCATGTGTGGGTTTCATCTTCTATCTTTAAGTCAGAGTTCTCTGGCAAGGAGGCACAATAGATGGATGGCGATGAAGCACGGGATACTTGGGTTTGATTCCCTAGATAGTTCCGTTTTACCTTTTCCAGTGTGTGTTCTTGGGAGTGTGCCCTTCAGCTCTCCGTGTGTCTGATCCTGGCTTGAGGTGTGAGTACAGGTGTCCACTGGGGTCAGGGAAAGCAGGGAGACACTGGCATGCCATCTTCAGAGCAGGAAATAGCCCTCGCTCTATTTCTTTGATCTCGACTTCCATGTTGGTTTTTAAATGTTTTTTTGAGAGTTATCATTTTATGTGCATGAGGGTTTTGCACACACATATGTCTGTGTGCTTTGTGTATCCTGTGCCCTCAGAGGCCAGGAGAGGCATCAGATCCTCTGGAACTGGTGGGGCAGACAGTTGTGAGTTGCCGTGAAGGTGCTGGGAACTCAACCCAGGTCCTCTGGGGTAGCAGCCAGTGCTCTTAGGTGCTGAGACATCTCTCCAGCCTCTTGACTTGCACTCTGTAAATATCTACTTCATGTCTGCTTTCCAACCCTCTAGATATTCTAAATCCAATGCTGAGCTCTCTTTCTGCCAAGTGCAGGTACAGCATTGGGAACACAGTGCCCACATCTGGTCCCCAACAGAATCTTAGTTCAAAGGATTCCATCCATTGGCTTGAAGGAGGGCACACTATGCAGTGTTGGGAACGCACTCTGGGCTAGCACTATTGGCTAACTTAGTGTTTGGGTTAGTTTATCAGGTGGGTTAGCACTATTTGGCTAACTTAGTGTTTGGGTTAGTTTATCAGGTGTTTAAATGCTTGCTTACACTGGAGTAGACAATGTGATTTAGTGTGCGGCATTGCGCCTCCCCGTGAGGTAGATCCGCCATCTTGGAACTGTTTGCTCTTGTCTTCTGCCTCCAGAGGGCAGTGTGATTTGTAAGAAATGCTTTTTTCCATGTTTGCGGTAGAGGTTTCTGAACTTCTTCCTGGAGAAACATAAGCGATGCGCGTGTGATGCTGACCAGTGGGAGTTCATCAATGGATGGTACGTCCTGGTCACTGTCAGCGACCTCATGACAATCATTGGATCCATATTAAAGATGGAGATCAAAGCCAAGGTAAGTGACATGCCACCTAGAATCTTTGGCATTGTGAGATACAGAATCCCTCTAGAGACTGGTGTGATTCTCATGTTTTTGTTCGTTTGTTTTTTGTTTGTTTTTTGAGTTTTTGCTTGTTTGCTTGTTTTTTGAAACAAAGTTTCTCTGTAGCTTTGGATCCTGTCTTGAAACTTGCTCTGTAGACCAGGTTGGTCTCAAACTAATAGGATCCACCTGTGTCTGCCTCTTGAGTGCTGGGATTAAAGGTGTGCTCTACTATCACTTGACAGTTCTCCTGTTTTTATGTCACCTATGACATAAGGCTCCTCTCACTCTTCCCCAGAAAGAGAGTGCACCGTGGAAGGTGATATCTATGGCCTTCCTCCAGGCATGTGTAGTCGTGTCTTTAGAATGGGAATTGAAGTTTGGGAAGATTGAGGGTTTCCTTTGTATTGATTACTTATTAGTTTATCTGTCTATTTACTTGTGTCACTTGCAAAGGAAGTCTCTGGCACACAGACCAGTCACCTCTCCTGAACATATCTGAAGAGCCAGTGGTGTGTGTGTGTGTGTGTGTGTGTGTGTGTGTGTGTGTGTGTAAAGTGGGAGAAGTGGGATTCTCCTCTGTATGCTATGACAATGTTTTATTACCATTGATTAATAAAGAAGTTGCTTCAGCCTTTGGCAGGACAGAATACAGTTAGGTGGCATATCCAAACAGAGATAGAGAGAAAGAAGGTGGAGTCAGAGACGCCATGTACTCCCAAAGAAGAAAGACACCAGAACCTTACCAGTAAGCCACAGCCTTGTGGTGATACACAGATTAATAAAAATGGGTTAATTTAAAATATAAGAGCTAGCTAGAAATATGCCTGGCCATCAGTCAAACAGTGTTTTAGTTAAAAGAGTTTTTGTGTGATTATTTGGGTCTAGGTGGCCAGGAAATGAACATATAGTCTCAGCTTACAAATGGCACCCAATGTGTGTGTGTGTGTGTGTGTGTGTGTGTGTGTGTGTGAGAGAGAGAGAGAGAGAGAGAGAGAGAGAGAGAGAGAGAGAGAGAGTTGCCGTGGGCCCTGATAGCCGAGGGAGGGATGAGGAGTACTTGAGTGTCACAAAGTCTGACTGGTTCTTTATTAGTTCACTGTCTGTTCTCATAGTTGGACTCTGCTTCCTTTGGTCAACTGTTCTCTCCTCCGTTCTTTGTCAGTCTTACAAAGCTGTCCTCCTCACGACTACTGTACTTCCTGTCTCCATTCCAGCTACCCCGGCTTCTCTCAGGCTGACTTCCTCTCTGGGCTGGACTGCCTCAGCCACCTTCTTGCTGGAGTTTCTGTCTTTAGCCTTATATCCCACAGATCCGTCTGTACAGTGGCAGGTAAAACCCCCTAGAAATACCCACCTAGCTGTGACAATCCCTTCTGCCTCCCAGGATCTACTTAGGATGAAGGGGCCTCCTGTTGTCATGGCCTCCAAGGGTCCCCTCACTGGACTCTGGCTCCCATCCTAGCTCTACCACTGCTCTTCCTATGCCATATCTCAGCCTTGGAGATGTTGAGCATCTGTCCCTGAGTCTGTAAACTTCTCTCCAGTCTGTGTCTGCTTAGCTCTGGGTCATGCCCGTTAAATGGCCTCTGTGGAAAATGGCCAGTATGTCTCCTGCTGAACTTAGCACACTGTATTGAAATTGTGTTAGCTGTCTCTTTTGTCAGTGAAGCCTAGGTCCTCTTGAAAATAGGAACTATGTCAGTTAATCACACTAGAGTATGCTCCCAAAAGTGCCTGGGCTGTGTTGTTTGATATTTGGTAAACACCATGCTCTTTCATGCCTAGGTCAGTGGTAAATGCAAGTCCTATTTCAAAATGTTATTTGGAAAATAAATCAGTTTACAAAGTACTAAAAGAAAATCAAAACCGAACATTTGAAGTTTTCCTCCGCTTCCTTCCCCCTCCTTTTGATCCCTCCCCTCCCCCTCTTGTCCTTTTCCTCCCCCTCCCCCTCTTTTCTTCTTCTTCATCATCATCTTCATTGTTTTTGTTTGGAGACAAGGTCTCACTCTGTAGCCCAGGCTAGCCTAGAACTTACTATGCAGTTCAAGCTAGCCTTGGGAACTCATGATTCTCCATCCTCAGTCTCCCCAGTGCTAGGGTGACAGATCTGGGTAGGGGACAGCCAGTTCTCACCCATTAAAGGGAGGCAAACAAGCAAGGGAACTGGGCCATTTCACTCACCTGTGCTTCTTTTCCTTCCCTAGAACCTCACAAATTATGATCTGTGTAGTATTTTGCTCGGGACGTCAACGCTCTTGGTCTGGGTTGGAGTCATCAGATACCTGGGCTATTTTCAGACATACAATGTAAGCTTCCAGATGCACCATTGTGCTTGACACCCCTTCCTCCTCCAGTCCCACCGTCCTCCAACCCCTCCGCTTCTGCCATTGTTTTTCAGGTGCTCATTCTAACCATGCAGGCCTCACTGCCCAAAGTCCTCCGCTTCTGCGCTTGTGCTGGTATGATCTACCTGGGCTACACGTTCTGTGGCTGGATTGTCTTGGGCCCGTACCACGAGAAGGCGAGTAGTGCCAATTCTTCCCGCGTCGAGGGCATTTGGGGTCCTTCCCCTGCGCCTCCAGCACTCACCCCCTCCACTCCTCTCCAGCGAGCGCCCTGACGTCAGTACCCAGAGAACTTTTGTTTGCCTGTTCCTCTGCCTTCTCCTTTTCAGGGTATTAAGGTGGCTTTAGGATTTTGAACCAAGAGCTACAAGAGATGGGAAAATACACCTCTTCTAGTAGCCTGAGCCTGGTGGAGGACCTGACACATTCGACCAGTTGTTCAGCAATGAAAAGTGCTTGCACATGAGATCACTGTTAGCAAAACGTAAGAAAAGTAAGATTATGACAGAATCGCTCTAGTGTGAAGTATAGGTCTTCTGTCCATATTGGCTGAATAGAGCGGAGTAACGGCTCTACCACGGGAGAACTCTTCCTTTCTCTTGAAATGAGCTCACATCTGTCAAGGTGGTTTTGATCAAACTTCAGGTTCGATCTTATTGAAGATCAGCATCGGAGTCTCTGTTACTTCCCTTCAGGGAGCATCGTAAGTCCATGGTAGTCAGGTTCACAGTTTGACCTATTGTCAGGCTCATGGTCAGGCCTATGGTCAGGCTTACGGTCAGACATGGTATAATCCCAACTGCTTTGAGGAAGGAGGAAGCTGTGAGTTCAAGACCAGCTTGGACCATATAGCCAGTTCAGGGCTAACCTTAGAAGTAGGAGACTCTATCTTGAAATGGTGTGACGATTGATAGAACATCGTGAGGAGAAACCAGGAAGGCTGTGTTCAATCCAAACGATAAAAAGAGTCAGTGCATCTTACAGCGTTTCTTCCCCAGTCTCCTGGCTGTTGAGAGACTACAGAAAGGATGGCGGCCAGCAGTTACCCCCTGTTGTCCACAGGGTAGGTGCTGTACGCAACATCCCAGGGTCTCTCTCAGGTCATACACAGTTCCTTCGTGCACACAACTCTCCTCAGGCACCCAGCAAGGACAAATGAGATAGGAAGCACAGAAGGAACATTCCCTCCAGGGTTGTATAATAGCTCAACCCTAAGTTCAGACCTTGACATTCAAGCTTTGTGGTTGGTTCGCTGTTCACAGGCTGAGTGGTACACACAGCTCAGACCCTCCTCCACATCAATCAAACTCCAGTTTGGAACCCAGGGTTCCCTCTCTGTCATATTTAATGTGTCTTGATTTTTCTTACTAGACCAAACAGTCTCACGAACAAAGTGACAGGCTGCAGCTTAACTCGGATCTTGATGATCCGATTGATTTTTCTGTTTGGTGTCACGTCTTTGAAGGCGATTCATGGGTAAAACTCGTTCTTTGATACGATAACTCTAACATGGAGAGCCCGCTGTCTGATCAAGGCCAGAGAATTTGCAGTTTTCTTTCCCTTGCTTGCCTCCTGCTCCTGGAGCGTCTCCACCTCTCCGACACTAGAGGGCACTGTTGTACTGTGTGGAATAAATACTGAGCCTAACCTGGGTTTCATCAATTCATTGGCCCCCAAACAGCTGGACATGTAGTCCTATGTTCCTTGTCACTCATTCTGTGCTGTTCTTCCATCCCTCACCATTATTCTGGAAAGTTCTCAGTTAACACTGTTTGAAGTTTACTGAATGACTGTAATTCTTTGCTTTTTGTTAGGCCCTCTGTCTAAGTTCTTTATTCCCCTTGCTCTCCTGATTCTGTGATAAAATGCCCAACAAGATAAACTTTTAAGGAAAAAAAGGGTTTATTTTATCTCATAGTCCAGAGTCACTTGGTCCTGGTGCCCTAAAGCCTGGGACCAGGCAGTGCATCATGGCAGGACATGATAGAGGAGACGGCCTGTTTGCAACATGGTACCCAAAAAGGAAAGAGGAAACAGGAAGGGCTGGATTTTCAGTCTGCCCTTCAAGGCATGTCCCCAATGGGCGCTACCTCTTAAGGGTACCCAATGCTACCACAGTCTGGAGATCCAACCTTTATCACATGGGCCTTTGAGGGACATTTTGAGGTCCACATTACAGCACATCATCCCATCGTCTTCTCTCCCTGTGAGATGATAGCATCCCTTACGGAGAATAGAAACCTTAATTTACCAAACCATTTTCTGTGGCAAATGCAGCGTCCAATCTGGCCCGCCCCGACTTGGTAATCCCATTTTGACCAATAATACCCTATGGTACTTTTCTTGGTATTGTCTGATGTGTACCATTGTAAAAGGACATCCAGTTTGATCTGAGAAGCAGGTGGTACTTGGGGACCCCTCCTCAGTTGTGTTCCTTTGATGTGTGTCCGGATCGCCTGCTGAAGGCCTAGTCACTTGCTGGTGAGCCTACATGCATTCCGTATGTTCATCTTTGTCATCCAAAGGATGGGGGTGGAGCTGGGGCGTCCTGGGCCAGCGCTGGCCAAAGATCACAAAGCGTGGACCACAAATCAGCTGTTGTGCACACTTCAAAATATTCTAATATCCTCATGAAAAATCAAGAAGAGCAGGACAGAACTGATTTTAACTGTGTGTCTTGTTAAGCCTAGCAAAGCCCAAATCCTCATTTTGGTCCATAAGCAAAGACACCTCAGGGCTTCAGGCTTTTGCTTTTTGTCCTTAAAGTCTGGTGGTTTTGGAGCCTCCCACATGTCTCATCTTAGCTGTTATTTCTTTATTTTTGAAGATAGATTCTCATGTAGGCCAGGCTAGCCTCAAACTTGCCATATAGCAGGGGCTAACCTTAAACATCTTCCTTTCTCTACCTCCTGAGTCCTTGGCTTACAGGCACACATCACGATTCCCTGTTTATGCAGGACTATGGTTCAAATCCGTGGAGGTCAATGTTGGCAAGCCCTCTGCCAAGGGTGTGACACACCCAAGCACCTCAGATTCCCAGACTGTCTATCATGTGCTCAGCAGCCACATGTGGTAGGTGGCTACAGTTTTGGACACGCTTTTCACTTGTGCCAGCTTCCGTTTATCTCCCTCACAAAGTGAAAAGATGCCATCTCTAGCAGCCCTGACTGGTCGGCTGATGCCCCTCACTCCCACCTCTAGCCAGGCTGATGGACGGGAAGGGTGAGGGGCTGGGTTTGCTCAGTAAATGTACGGTCCACTAGGTGAACGCACGGAAGCCTGGTTCTGGAATTTGGTGCTTTCCTGCCCCATTTTGCTGCCGCTTTAAATATGAAGTTGGAAAATTTTACTGTCCCCAGCAGCACTGCCCCCCACCCCAACTGATCTGAATGTCCAGGTTATACCCTGAACCCTCGAATCAGAGGCCCTTCAGGGCTACCCAAACCCTAGAACAGCCGAGCATCATGGCCAACACTTCATTAGTAGTTTGAGAAGCCCAGCAATCCGGAGTGTGAAAGCCATTCATCATTTAAAAGAGACAAGAAAAAAGTTCTAAAGGGAAGGTGTCATGAAAATCCCAACTGAATCCAATTGACTGGGGATCAAAGTTCCGGATTCCTGAGCTTCCTGTCTTCTCGCCACACATCTGATGGCAGTGATTCAGCTCAGGAACAAGAAGTGTCAGATCGATGTCCGTCTCCAGCGCTAATGGACTTTGGCACCACACTCCCTGAAGACGTCTGGGCACAGAGACTTGAAGAGCGCCGACAAGCTTCCAAACCTCATCTTGAATTATTAAGGACTTCTCTAATGTGGATTTTACATTTCCTGTCTCCAGGGGACATTATTTTTCTTAAGCTATGATGCATAAATAATCGTTTTTGCATTGTCCTCGTTTTACAAATAAGAAGAACAAGGCATTGAAAAACCATTGCACTCTGCTGAGGCCATGGACAAAATCCTGAAATTTCCAAGGCTTTTGGCCTTGCCCAGATACTTTGCTTATTCAAAATAATCACAAGCCAGCTGAAACATTCTAACTACTACAAGAGATTCTTGCTACCTGCTCTCAGAGCATGCACTAAACCGTTCTCTGACGTAAGTGAATAAGGGTTAGATCCGCATTCAAACAGAAGTTCTCTCGGCTCACTCACAAACATCATTTGTGGCATACACATTTTGTTTCTTTCTGAACCCACCAGGGCTTTTAAGGAAAACACCCGTTGAGTGTTTACGGTCTCCACACACGCAGCTCTGTCAGGACTGAGGTCTTAGAAGGCAGCGATCGTGGCTCATTCTTCTTCATGTTTCCAGTGCCCACTCTGGGGCCTGGAATGTGTCAGGCATGCATCACATTTGCTTCAGAGAGACTACTGACCTGCCTTCCGGGTTAATTTGCATGATCAGCTGCCTGGATTGAGAATCACACGTCGGAGACACATCTCTAGGCATAAACATATGGGCATTTCCAGAAAGCTCCAGTAGAGGATGGAGGACTCATCCTGAAGGGAAGTGGCATCACTGTAAGGGCTCAGAGCCCAGGATGAATAAAAAGGGGAAAAGAGAAGAAGCAGGGGAGCACCCTGACTGTCGTCCCGCTGAGAGGCGAGCAAGCAGCTCTTGGACCCTGCCGCTGCCCTGCCTTACTGCCGTGATGGACTGTATATCCATCCCCATCAAGTCGGGAGCAAGACAATCCTCCCTTGTCTCATTCACACTGACATGAAAAGCACCTGGACACAGGGGCTTGCCAGTGTGCTATCTAGCTGGAGACACTTTAGCACCTGACCCTGGGCCCCTTTTATGCTCATGTGTCTGAAATTTGGCCACTCAAACAGACTTTGGTAGTAATCCGTTCTTGTGGTAGAGAAATGACCCAGTATTTTATTACTTTACTGGGTCTTGGCTTGAACTTGGTGTGCTGGGCTAAGTCCTATTTGGCTACAGAAGGAGAGATACAATGGTTTTGAATACACTGGGGTTGAGATGGGCACTGCGCTTATACCAACAGTGTATGCAGGACAACACGGATAAGATGTGGTGCTTGCTCTCCCACTGAGGTGCAGAAGTGTGTCTCAGAGCGCTGAGAAGACAGTCCTGTTATATTCTCCGTAGTTTTTGCTGACAGTGGATCAGGGCTAAAGCGGACAGAGATTCTATCCCTAGGTAGACTTTGAATTGGCCCGGAATGTTGACTTTGTTTGGTACAGAGAAGAAGGGAGGATATGGGAGATGAAAAGACTGGATTCTGCCAGGGAAATGTGCTCTAGGAGCACCTAAGTGTGGATGCTAATATCGACAAGCAGGAACCATGAGGCGGCACGAAATAAGAACTTGGTGGAACCTTCTACGCTTGTGTTTCCAGTTTTCACAGCCATAAATAAGAGAGATGCCCTCAAAGCTGCCTTTAGGAGACTTGGGGGGTTGTTTGTTTGTTTGTTTGTTCTTTTCAGTTTGGATGGCGGAAAGAGACTGGCACGCAGAAGACTTCCCTAGAAGTTTCTATAATAAGTCAACATTAGCCCTGACATCAGAGTGGAAGAAGAAGGGTGTTCCCACCATAAAGCACACAGGCTTTAGAGGACCCAGGAGCGGGGAGGACCGGCCAAGTCAGCACAAAGTAGAATGTGCTCGATTATTTGGGCCCAGACCTTCCTTTTGGTTGGAGGTTGGAATCATTACACACGTAGAGGAATTTGGAAGGAGAGCCCTTCTCTGGACTAGGGTGATGGGCAGTTCATTTTGTTACCTGCAAAGTCACAGCTCCTCCCTCCTCCTTCCCTCCTCTGGGACTGTAGAGATGTCCCAGATGTTTATTGAGACCTTGGGTGTCCCCAGTGCTCAACTAATGAACACAGAGGCCCTGAGGTCAGAATTTGATTAAAAATTCTACAGTAACCTGCTTCATATATTTCCGAAAATCACGGTCTTTTGTTTATTAAGTCATTGTTCCTCCATGAGTTTTCATATTCATCTACTGTCTAAACCCCTGGCTCCTGGGACATGTTTATTAATAGTAGGCAGCTTGTTTTAGTGAAGATGGCAGCAGTTTGATAACTTCTTAAAGCCAGGATGACTGCTGTAGATTCTGGTGATACTCTGTGTTAGCTTTGTCTAGAGGTCTGGAAGTCTGGCTCCCAAGCCACCGCCCAGGGTAGCTCAGAGAAGACTTCTCAGGAGCGAGGATTGGAAGATCTCACACATGATCTGAGGGTCACGATCGTCATTGTTCTGTAGCTCTAATCCTACCTCCATTGCTTCTAGTTTTACATCTCATTGATCATAGCACATTTCTTGGGTAAACTGAGCCACTTACCGTGGCAACACATAGACTGGGACATGGTACTTGGCAATTTCCTGGACACTGGCATTGAAAACATCTCCGTCCTAAAAATATATTCTCTTATTCTGCCTGTAACCCCAGAACATAAAAAGGGGGAACCTTGTAACCTCAGCTACAAGGCCAGACCATCCTTTGTAGTCCTGGCTAATTGTGAAACTTTGCCCACAGTAGTTGGACATAAGACTAATTTTCTTTGGACTTGGTTGATTGATTGTTATTTGGGACCTAAACAATAAACAGTTAGCTGAACTTTGAGTTTTATATCATAAACTGAGATTAGGAGTTTGTGTAGAGTGTTAATTGCTAAGGAATTTAGTAGGGAGTGGCTTCTAACCTGTGTTATCAGCCAAGTTTAGTTAGAGAAATTGGCATAGTATTTTAGGATGCTTTGTGTTCATAGCTTTTGTTGGACATCTGTGACTCTGACCTTGTGCGGATCTGTAAAGTTATAAACTTATGATCCATTTGCAGAAACATTCCGTCTAGTTTGAACTTTCTCTAAGGTGAAAATGAGCTGACTGTGTGCAGCTTGTCTTAGACTGGGGAGAAATTGTTGTTTTCTTGTGTTCATCTGAGTAAAATGAACAAGGCAGGCTTTAATATCTTACAGCCTCGTGGGACAATAGGTCTTGTTACGAAGCATATCCTAGTATATTTTCTACATATCAAAATTATACAGATTAATGAGAAGTCATCTTCCTGACCATCCATGGATATATGTGCCAATAAGATTGAGATATGAGATTGCACATATACATCACCTGGGATTACACCCTACAGTGCAGGTGTTGGGGAGACACCACAGCTGCGTTTGCACATGTGGAATTACAGACAGGAGCAACAGTTTTCAGAGTCAGTGGTCCTGCAGGCCTTTCCTGAACGGGATTCTCCTCTATCAGAGAATCATTCCCCTGGTGGGTTGACATTTGAACACTCATTATCACCTATTGTATACTTCTATGGCCTTCCACAGCCTCGGATCAGTGCTTAAGCTCCATGGGCATGCCTTCATGTGAACCACCTGAGGTCCAAGCTCCCACCTGGTATCTTAGATGCACGATGTCCGGAACTGTTAAAAGCAGATACGCAGTAATTTTTCTTGCTGCTGGCTGCTGGGACAAAATAGCTAACAAAGGAAATAAAAGGAAGGGTTTGCTTGGGCTCACAATCTGAGGGCACATCTCATCATGGTGGGGCAGAAATCGTGGTGGCACATCTCATCATGGTGGGAAGAAGTCGTGGTGGCTGGTCACGTTGCGTTTGCAGTCAGGAAGCAGGGAGAGATGAACACTGGTGCTCAGCTCCCTGTCTCCTTTATTAAGTCCTGGGAATATATAATATGAATTATTATATTGATTACAATTATTATAAAATATTATAATGTATTGCCTCCTGTACATAGAACTGAACTTCCCACCTGAGTTTAACTAGTCTGGAAACTCCTCAGAGACCTGCTGGAGATGCATCTCCCAGGGGACTCTGGGTCCCATCAAGTCCAGGATCAATATTCACCATCGTATGATTCTGGCCCTGACCTTTCCCGCAGACATCCTTTCTCCAGAGTCTTTCTCTCTGGTTAGGACTCACTGCTTCACTTGGACTCCTAGGGCCACTTTTGATTGACACCTGCCCTTGGGCTGCTCCTCTCCTAAGAGCTCTTCCACATGCCATTAGCCTTTAAAGACGCATGTACCAGGTCACATCACTGCCATGGCTCCCATGGCCTTCCCTCGAGTCGGGTTGTGGGAAGCCTTGAGCCTGATGCATGCCTGTCTCACTGAGACCCTGTGCAGCTCGGCCCCAGTGTCTCTGCTCAGCCTGATGCATGCCTGTCTCACCGAGACCCTGTGCAGCCCGGCCCCAGTGTCTCTGCTCAGCCTGATGCATGCCTGTCTCACCGAGACCCTGTGCAGCCTGGCCCCAGTGTCTCTGCTCAGCCTGATGCATGCCTGTCTCACCGAGACCCTGTGAAGCCCGGCCCCAGTGTCTCTGCTCAGCCGTTGCTGTGTCTCAGCACCACAGTCCCACATAGTCACTGGACACAACCTCTTCCTCCTCTCGCCGAGAACTAGTTCAGGGCACCATTGACCTTGTAGTCTATCTCAGCTATGGTATGTCCACTCTGGGGGGTGAAAGTTCCCAGTAAAGTGTTTCTTAGGTAATTGGGAAGGCTATGGTATGGCCACTTAGGAAAACCTTTTGATCTCGTGTTGTCTTAACCACTTCCACGTGTAGCTGGCTGTAAGATACACACCACAGCTCTGCTGACGACAAAACAGAAGAAAACAAGCCAGCTGCAACTCCCTGCTTCCTGCCCTGCGTGCTGAGACTCAGGAGTTCTTTTGTGTTTGCCCCTGCAGTTCGAAAACCTGAACATAGTATCCGAATGCCTGTTTTCTCTGGTCAACGGAGATGACATGTTTGCTACCTTCGCTCAGATCCAGCAGAAGAGCACCCTGGTGTGGCTGTTCAGTCGCCTTTACCTGTACTCCTTCATCAGCCTCTTCATATACCTGGTGCTCAGCCTCTTCATTGCGCTCATCACCGATTCTTACCACACCATCAAGGTAAGTCATGGTGAGCGTTTGCTGCCAGAAAGCACCGTAAATGTTGTATGGGTTGGATCATGAGATAGGCTATAATCTTACTGAAATACAATTTTATTCAAGTTTTTAAAAATCATAAAATAGACCTTTTTGATGACTAACTATGAATATGCACTTGTCTTAGGGTTTCTATTGCTATGATGAAATCCCATGACCAAAAGTAACTTGGGGAAGAAATGGTTTATTTTATTTGACTTACATTTTACTATCTTATTCTATCATTGAAGGAAGTCAGTACAGGAACCTGAATGCAGGAGCTAATGCAGAGTCCAGGGGGTGGGGGATGCTGGTTACTGGCTTGCTCTTCATGGCTTATTCAGTCAGCTTTCATCTAGAATCTAGGACTACAAGCCCAGGGATGGCGCCACCAGCAATGGCTCGGCCCTCCCCCATCAATCATTCATTAAGAAAATGCCCTACAACCAAATCTTATAGAGGCATTTTATCAGTTGAGATCCCCTCTTTTCAGATGACTTGAGTTTGTGTCACGTTGGCATAAACCTGGCCAGCACAGAACGTGAAACATTTTGCTTGTTACCCTGAACAAGGTGGTTGGGTTTGGAGGCATGCTGGGAAAAGAAAGAGACGAAGAAAAACTGAGTGTGATTAACTTGACCCTGACGGATGCCCCTGCCTGCATGGCTACCTGGAACTCAGGTTTCAGGGTAACTCCCAGGGATGGGAGGTGATTGTCACCCTGAGAACTGGGTGGCTAGTGACATACCTCACATCCAGGGATAGAGACGCTTGTAGTGCACCCTTCGCTAATGTAAAGGAAGGAAAGGTTCCAGTTTTCCCAAGCCCTGGTGCATCCCACACCCTTTCAGATGGGGCCTGTGTGGTTGAGTTAGAGCTTCCAGGAAGACCACTGTCTTTGGAACTGGCATCCCCACAGCAGATGGTTGTGCCAGGAAAGCTACTTCAGAACCAATGCCTAAACCACACAGGGTACCACCCTCTGCTCAACCCTTCCCATACTAAATCAGAAGGAAGCTGGTCAGCGATCAGCTTGTGGGATTAGAGTCACAGTGTACGTGGTAGCTGGCCCCGGTGACAGGGTGTGTTGGGACAGAAGTGCAGGCTCTTGCCATGAAAATTCGTGTCTTTGGTATGGTAGTGCCTTTGTGTGGGGCAAGTGTCAGTGTTGAACTGGATGACCTTACTAAACAAACTCTTTGTCTGTTGAGAAAAATCTACCCCCATCCCACTCTGTGGCCAACTTCCATGTACGCAGAGAAGGAGGGTTATGACTCTGTCTGATTCTAGGTGGGCAGGGTGGAGAGTGAAATGAATCTGCTGGTCTCACTACTAACACGCTAGCTTTCTAGTTTTGACTATTTCTTCTGTTCCTCTTTTCAACACACCTCTTCTCCCTCCCCCCCACCCCGGCTGGTTTTCTGGAGCTTTCCTTCCCATTGTTCTCAGTTCCCAGTGCCTCTCTGGCTCAGATGTTCTAGAACTGACAGACTGAGTCATCATTGCTGATAGTCCTTCTTGGATCTGAACTCGCACTGCGGGAGTTTCATTTCTCAGAGGTGGGTTTGCGTTGTTGACAAGGGGAACACTTTCTCACACTCTAGAAAGCAGGTAACAGCATTGTGTGCTTTTCCAAAGAAATACCAGCAAAATGGGTTTCCTGAAACGGATCTGCAGAAATTCCTGAAGGAATGCAGTGGCAAAGATGGGTACCAGAAAGAACCGCCGGCCTTGTTGTCCTGCGTCTGCTGTCTGAGGAGGTCAGTGTTGTGTCTATAGCTGGAAAAAAAGCCATTCCAAAGTTAACGTTGCACTCTGAAGTCAGCTTGTGGTGGGAAATAGCTGGTTTTTCTTTTCTTTTCTCCCCTGCACAAATCTGTTTGAGAAATAAATTGTTTCTTGTAAAACAATGTTCTACACAATAAGCTTTGTGTAGAAAGCTCCAGGACTTGATTAAAATTCTTAGGAACCTTATGAGAGCCTCATGAGGAGATAAACTGTGACCTGAATCAAGAGGCCAGACTCCTCAGGTACCAAAAGAAGAGGCCTTTCTTTTTGGAGGTGAACTTCCAGGCACGTTAGATGCATTCTCTTCCTTCTCAGGATGTGGCACACATCATCAGTTCCTTAAGACAGATGGGGACTGCTGGGGAGGAAACTTCTGGTGTCTCTCCTCGTTACTATTTACTAGTTTCTACTGCTGCAACAAAACATCATAGCCAAGGCAACATAGAGAAAAAGAGTTTACTGGGCTGTGCAGAGTCAGAGGTTGAAGCCATGGCCATCATGGTGGGAAGCATGGTGGCAGGCAAGGCACTGGAGCAGTACATGAGAGCTTGCATCCTGATTCCCAAACACAAGGCAGAAAGAGCCAACTGGGAATGGCATGGGTTTCTGGAACCTCAAAACCCACTCCAAGTGAAACATCTCCAACAAGGTCCTTTCCAAATAGCTCCACCAACTGGGGATTAAGGGTTCAAAAGAATGAACCTGTGGGGGACCATTCTCTTTCAAATCATCACAGTGTTCTTGGTTTGGCCCCCCCCCCCCCCCAGCATCAGTAGCTCTTCCATGCTCAGCTGGGCTTTGCTGGCTGTTTGGACGCTGCAAGAAATATTGTAGGGAAGTTGCTTGTTGGTTCCTAGCTGCCCGGCTAGCTTAGACCAGAAATAACCACAGATAAACTATTTTAATTAAAACACTGCTTGGCCCATTAGCTCTAGCTTCTTATTGGCTAACTTTAACATCTTAATTTAACCCATTTGCATTAATCTGTGCATCACCACGAGGTCATGGCCTACCAGCAAAGTTTTAGCACATCTTTCTCCGGCAGTGGCTCCATGTTGTACCCTGACTCTGCCCTCTTTCTCCCAGCATACAGCCTAGCTTTTCCTGTCTAGCTTTGTTCTGCCCTTGTCATAGGCTCAAAGCAGTTTTTTACTCATTAACCAATAAAAGCAACACATAGACAGAAGGACCTCCCATGCCAAAGAATGGTATGAGTCTCAGTAACCAGAGTGTGCTACCCAGTAGTGTGGGAACCAGAACTGAAGTCAGATGGGGATGGTTTTCTTAAGGGCACACATCTGTGTTTCACCTGGGTTGGGAATAGGCATTTTTAAGGTATGCCTTACCCATGTTTTTGAGGAGAATTTTATAATTCAAATTCCTAAAGGAAGAGGGGAGACCACAGCAGCTTAAGCCCCTTAAGTGCGTGTTTTTGTGAACCAATTCATTCTGCATCTTGAGGCTTGCAATGGGGTAACGGACCACATCCAAAGATGTCTGGTAGCATAAAATGAGATCTTCTGAGATGTTGGCTAAGTTGATTTCATCTGCTCAGAGCATGAAGCTGCTGCCATAGACTCCAGGATGAAGGAGAATTAATTTTCTTAGTTGGCAGCTGCCTCCTAGGAAATGAGAAGGAGAAGGCAGGTCCCTGGATTGGCTTTCCTAGCATGCAGCTATTGTGGGAGTGACTTCCCTTGTTGCTATGGCAACATGCCTGTTGAGACACACCTGAAGGAAGGAAGTTTCGCTTCAGCTCAGGTCTTGAACAAACAAAACCTGACGAGCAGAGCCCATGGCAGCTGGTCGCATTGCACACACAGCTGAGAGGCAGCTGGTCACATTGCGCACACAGCTGAGAGGCAGCTGGTCACATGGCACACACAGCTGAGAGGCAGCTGGTCACATGGCACACACAGCTGGTCACATTGCACACACAGCT